TGAGCCCCCATATATTGGTGGACAGTGCGCCCCCTGATACTGGTAGTCAGTGAGCCCCCATATATTGGTGGACAGTGCGCCCCCTGATACTGGTAGTCAGTGTGCCCCCATATATTGGTGAACAGTGTACCCCCTGATACTGGTAGTCAGTGAGCCTCCTGATACTGGGAGTCAGTGCGCCCCTTGATACTGGTAGTCAGTGTGCCCCCATATATTGGTGAACAGTGTACCCCCTTGATACTGGTAGTCAGTACGCCTCCTGATACTGGCAGTCAGTGCGCCCCCTGATACTGGTGGTCAGTGTTCCCCCATATATTGATGGACAGTGCACCTTCTTATACTGGTGGTCAGTGTGCCCTCAATTATTGGTGGACAGTGCGCCCCCTTGATACTGGTAGTCAGTGTGCCCTTACACTGCAGCAGGTGAATGGTTTCCATATGTTTAGTTTTATCTAAGACTGCACTGTGAGGATGGAGAGCACGGCTCTCTTTGTACTTACAAAAGGAGGCATAGCACTTCATAGTGAGCTGGTTCTTGCCTGGAGAAAACACACAGATGTGGGATTGGGGGTGGGAGCAACACCTTCACCAAGGAGAGAGCTTTGGCCGGAGAATGTGAGGAGGGGAGGCTGCAATCAATAATCAAGGGGTGGCACTAAATCCGCAAAGTATGGCTCAATTGCACATCAGATGCAGGACATGAAGGCGTAGTACACAGCAATCTATCCACATACAAACACCACAATTCCTGCCCAATGATTTCTGTAGGCCCTGTGTGCTGACATCTCCATTTCTCTTGCCAAGCCCCAGCTACCGCTGCCACAGTCTCTACAGTGTTGTACTCTTTGTTTACAAACTCTGTGCCTGCTTCGTAGGCAGTGCTTTCCTCACAGGCCCGCTCCAGCATAACAGCCTGAGAGATCGGCACCACTTACCAGATGGGCACAGATTTTGTACATAAGCAGCAGTGTAATGCAGAGACTGTGACAGAAGTCACAGGGATATTGTCAGTAGCGGGAAGACAGTAAGTGTCGGCACACATAGAAAGTCCCCCTGGCCCTAGAAATATACTGTGATTGCTGTCAAGTCTCAGTAGGAAGGCTTTGGCCTAGCTTTGGAGAAACTCTGGTTTAAAGCACATGCCTTTTACTGACTGTTGAAGCCCTGGTTCACACCTGCGCATGTTTGCGACTCGTGTTTGAGCGGGCACAGCAGCCCATTCATTTGAATGGGATGCTGTGTCCGCGTTACCCACAGAAAAAAAGGTGCAAACGTGGCCGCAGGAATATCGCATGGTGCTTTTGCAGCATACAATTTCCCTGCGGTTCCCGTTCCCCAGCAAACCTGCTGCGGGTTGCAGGTGCCATGAAGAGTGAATTTTGCTCTACAGAGCAGCGATTTGTGTGTGGGTGGTTGTTGGGGTGTGGGAAGCAGAGAGCAGTGACTGTCAGCTCTCTGCTCTCTCCATCACTCACTGAAGCACCAAGCTGTGCAGGGGGCTGAGCCAGTTGTTGGTCAGGGCATCTAGGTGGATCCCAACATTAAAGTCGGAAACTCTTCACAGCCTGCAGCAGCTCAGTTACATAAGCCTACTTTTGGCAGAACGAAGTGCACTCCTGTGATCCATAGAAGTAGGGGCATGAGAGCTTTGGTCCTACTTTTCCTTTAATAGTGTCAGTTATCTACAATGCACATGGTAGCTGGAGGCTGTGTTGTCTTTGCCTAGGCTGGAGGTGCTCTGATGGATCTCAAATTAGCAATTTTATCAGAAAGCACGTGTGTACTTTCTTACTCAAAATTGTGATGTGATTTTGTAATGCTGACATATGCCCTATTGATTCTTGTACAGTATGATTAGTAACAATAGGCCTCTTTAATATCTACTTATGCTCTATGCCCAGAATATACCTGATATATATATATGTCCATTTTGCCCAGGACCGGATTACTGCGCCTTGGCTGATCACGGATGTCAACACGAGTGTGTTAATACAGACGATTCCTATTACTGCAGATGTCGGCAAGGGTTTACCCTCAATCCAGACAAAAAAAAGTGCACAAGTAAGTTCTATTCTTCATTAAATGGTTTAATTTTGAGTGTGAAACCCCCAAAAGATGAACATCTTATGTTCAAAGTATGCTCTGTGCTTAAAGTGGTTCTAAAGCCTGGACATTTTTTACCTTATTGTATTCCCTGCATTAAAGTAAAAAAATGTCCCAGTGTCTACATTGCCCCCTTGTCAGGGCTCCCAGGTGTGACCAGAGGTGTGTGGCTGACGCAGGGAAACGCAGACCTCAGATATGTTATAAACAATATAATTTATTAACACTAACAATATAAACATAAACGCAGTGCAATACTAAAACATAATACAGTGCAACCAAACCAAACCAACCACCCACAGATAACAGTACATACAAGCAAGCGTCGTCAGGCAGGCCGGGTCAATATCAATAGGGCAGGTAGGTACAGGGGGAGCAAGCGGAGATTGGTCGGGGTCACAGGCCAGGTTCAGCAGGTAGCAAGCAGCGTAGTACAGAGGGTCAGGCAGAGGGATGGTCAGGGTCACAAGCCAGGGATCAGAACAGGTAGCAAGCAGCGTGGTACAGAGGGTCAGGCAGAGGGATGGTCAGGAGCGAGCCGGGATCAGAGCAGAAGTCAGCAGCGGTTCAGAAACAGGATGCAGGACAGAAACAGGATACAGGGCCCAGGACAAACACAACACCAAGGCAGAGTCTGTGGGTCTGGCCATCCCTTAAATACCCCAGCATAATCAGTTCCAGGTTTAGCTGGCTGCAAAGTTGAGTCTCTGATTGCTGGGAGCATCCGCTGGCCAGCCCTGGTACTGCAGATCAAAAGGCAGGTGAGTCCCCACCATTGCTGGCCAGTCCATTCCTGACAGTACCCCCCCCTCAAGGAGCGGCCTCAGGACGCTCCAAACAGTCCTAGCTGGGAAAAATGTTCCACCGCCCGGGTCTGGTAACTGGCGGGATATCAAAGACTGGCACACCGGGCAGGACTCCGGGCAGTGGTACACCGGGCAGAGGCACACCGGGCTGGACTCCGGGCAGAGGCACACCGGGCTGGACTCCGGGCAGAGGCACACCGGGCTGGACTCCGGGCAGAGGCACACCGGGCTGGACTCCGGGCAGAGGCACACCGGGCTGGACTCCGGGCAGAGGCACATCGGGCTGGACTCCGGGCAGAGGCACATCGGGCTGGACTCCGGGCAGAGGCACATCGGGCTGGACTCCGGGCAGAGGCACATCGGGCTGGACTCCGGGCAGAGGCACATCGGCTGGACTCCGGGCAGAGGCACATCGGGCTGGACTCCGGGCAGAGGCACATCGGGCTGGACTCCGGGCAGAGGCACATCGGGCTGGACTCCGGGCAGAGGCACATCGGGCTGGACTCGGGCAGAGGCACATCGGGCAGAGGCACATCGGGCTGGACTCCGGGCAGAGGCACATCGGGCTGGACTCCGGGCAGAGGCACATCGGGCTGGACTCCGGGCAGAGGCACATCGGGCTGGACTCCGGGCAGAGGCACATCGGGCAGGACTCCGGGCAGAGGCACATCGGGCAGGACTCCGGGCAGCGGCACATCGGGCTACCAGGCGAAGCAGCAGGCAGCGGGCCACCAGGCGGAGCGGCAGGCACCGGGCCCCCGGGCGGGGCGGCAGGCACCGGGCCCCCGGGCGGGGCGGCGGGCGCCGGGCCCCCAGGCGGAGCTACAGGTCTCGGGCCCTCAGGCAGAGCGGCGGGCGCCGGACCCCCAGATGGAGCGACAGGTCTCGGGCCCTCAGGCGGAGCGGCGGGCGCCGGACCCCAGATGGAGCGACAGGTCTCGGGCCCTCAGGCGGAGCGGCGGGCGCCGGGCCCCCAGGCGGGGCGACAGGCATCGGGCCCCCAGGCGGGGCGACAGGCATCGGGCCCCCAGGCGGGGCGACAGGCATCGGGCCCCCAGGCGGAGCTACAGGTCTCGGGCCCTCAGGCGGAGCGGCGGGCGCCGGACCCCCAGATGGAGCGACAGGTCTTGGGCCCTCAGGCGGAGCGGCGGGCGCCGGACCCCCAGATGGAGCGACAGGTCTCGGGCCCTCAGGCGGAGCAACAGGTCTCAGGCCTCCAGACGAAGCGGCGGGCACCGAGTCACCAGGCACGACAGTGGGCACCGAGTCGTCTGGCAAGACTGCGGGCACCGAGTCAACTGGCGGAACAGCGGGCATCGAGTCAACTGGCGGAACTGCGGGCACCGAGTCGTCTGGCAAGACTGCGGGCACCGAGTCGTCTGGCAAGACTGCGGGCACCGAGTCGTCTGGCAAGACTGCGGGCACCGAGTCGTCTGGCAAGACTGCGGGCACCGAGTCAACTGGCGGAACAGCGGGCATCGAGTCACCTGGCAAGACTGCGGGCACCGAGTCGTCTGGCAAGACTGCGGGCACCGAGTCGACTGGCGGAACAGCGGGAACCGAGCCGACTGGCAAGACTGCGGGCACCGAGCCAACTGGCGGAACAGCAGGCTTCGAGTCGTCTGGCAAGACTGCGGGCACCGAGTCGTCTGGCAAGACTGCGGGCACCGAGTCGTCTGGCAAGACTGCGGGCACCGAGTCGTCTGGCAAGACTGCGGGCACCGAGTCGTCTGGCAAGACTGCGGGCACCGAGTCGTCTGGCGGAACAGCGGGCATCGAGTCAACTGGCAAGACTGCGGGCACCGAGTCGACTGGCGGAACAGCGGGCACCGAGTCGTCTGGCAAGACTGCGGGCACCGAGCCAACTGGCGGAACAGCAGGCTTCGAGTCGTCTGGCAAGACTGCGGGCACCGAGTCGTCTGGCAAGACTGCGGGCACCGAGTCGTCTGGCAAGACTGCGGGCACCGAGTCGTCTGGCAAGACTGCGGGCACCGAGTCGTCTGGCAAGACTGCGGGCACCGAGTCGTCTGGCAAGACTGAGGGCACCGAGTCGTCTGGCAAGACTGCGGGCACCGAGTCGTCTGGCGGAACAGCGGGCATCGAGTCAACTGGCAAGACTGCGGGCACCGAGTCGTCTGGCAAGACTGCGGGCACCGAGTCGTCTGGCAAGACTGCGGGCACCGAGCCAACTGGCGGAACAGCAGGCTTCGAGTCGTCTGCAAGACTGCAGGCACCGAGTCGTCTGGCGGAACAGCGGGCACCGAGTCAACAGGCACGACAGTGTGCACCGGGTCATCAGGTATCGGATTGTCTGGCTCGACAGCGGGCATCGGGTCACCAGGTATGACAGCGGGCACTGGGTCACCAGGCATCAGGTCATTTGGCTTGCCAGCGGGCACCGCGTCATCTGGCAAGGCAGTGGGCACCGGGTCACCAGGTATGACAGCGGGCTCTGAGTCAATTGGCACGACAGCGGGCACTGGATCAGGTACCGGATCATCTGGATCAACAGCGGGCATCGAGTCAACTGGCCTAATAGGATCGTCGGGCTGGATCAGTTCATCATGCTGAGTAGCGGCATCAGGCTGAATGCAGGCATCAGGCTGAGTAGAGGCTTCAGGCTGAGTAGAGGCTTCAGGCTGAGTAGAGGCTTCAGGCTGAGTAGAGGCTTCAGGCTGAGTAGAGGCTTCAGGCTGAGTAACGGAAGGCAGTTTCACACCGTTTGGATACTGGCAGGATGGTATTGGTTGGAAAGAATTTTCGCTTTTTTCTGGTTTTAACTACTGGAGCACTGCAAGTAAACGCAGGTCTGCAAACGAATGGAGCAGCTGGAGACAGAGAAAAACTGGAGGATGGAACAGGAGAGGGAGCAGTTGCTACAGAGGGCTTTTTTTACAGGGTTAAAGGCAGGATAGGTGCAGCGAGTGGGAACAGGGGACTGACATGCGGTAGATAGCCAAGTATACTGGGCTGTAACTGGAGGAGCTGGTGGGAATACAGGAGTAGAGTTAGAAGCAGGACTGGGTTTTTGTAAGCTGACTGAGGCTGGGTGCAACAAATCTGTCCATGTCTGCAGTATGGGTTGAACAAAGCTGAGCTTACACAAAGCCTGTCTGGTCAATGACTGCACTGCGTTTATACAATCTCTTAGTGTCTGTGGTGAACATGTGGAATAACGCTCCAGAAAGTAACCCACATCATCCTCTAATAACCACACCAGGGACTCTACCTGGTCTGCACTAAATGGTGGCAAAAATTCATCCCTGCATTCGGGGGGAACCAGATGAAACCAACTCAGCAGAAACCTCAATCAAAGGCTGCACCTCAGAGAACTCTGTGCCCTGATCTACTAGAACATGAGCGAGCCGTATACATTCTAGCAGTTCATCCCGGGGATACTCCTTCAGAGTTTGATAAGCATACTCCCTGTCATCAAACACTAGCAGATATAAATACACAACCTCATCCAGATCCATCCTTCCCAGCAACAAGCCAAGATGGCTTCCCTGTGCAGCCACTTCTGGTCAGGATTGTGCCTTGGTGTAATGTCAGGGCTCCCAGGTGTGACCAGAGGTATGTGACTGACGCAGGGAAACGCAGACCTCAGATATGTTTATAAACAATATAATTTATTAACACTAACAATACAAACATAAACGCAGTGCAATACTAAACATAATACAGTGCAACCAAACCAAACCAACCACCCACAGATAACAGTACATACAAGCAAGCGTCGTCAGGCAGGCCGGGTCAATATCAATAGGGCAGGTAGGTACAGGGGGAGCAAGCGGAGATTGGTCGGGGTCACAGGCCAGGTTCAGCAGGTAGCAAGCAGCGTAGTACAGAGGGTCAGGCAGAGGGATGGTCAGGGTCACAAGCCAGGGATCAGAACAGGTAGCAAGCAGCGTGGTACAGAGGGTCAGGCAGAGGGATGGTCAGGAGCGAGCCGGGATCAGAGCAGGAGAAGTCAGCAGCGGTTCAGAAACAGGATGCAGGACAGAAACAGGATACAGGGCCCAGGACAAACACAACAACAAGGCAGAGTCTGTGGGTCTGGCCATCCCTTAAATACCCCAGCATAATCAGTTCCAGGTGTTAGCTGGCTGCAAAGTTGAGTCTCTGATTGCTGGGAGCATCCGCTGGCCAGCCCTGGTACTGCAGATCAAAAGGCAGGTGAGTCCCACCATTGCTGGCCAGTCCATTCCTGACACCCCTCACCCTCCTGTATACTGATTTCTCAATCCAGCGCTGTGCCCTTTTGAAGCAGCACTGATCTCTGTTCTTCTCCTCACAGGACACAGAAGCAGCAGTGGGAGCCATTAGCTCCTGCTGCTGTCGTTCAAATCTTCAGCAGAGCCGCGCTATGTGTGTCAGTAGACACACACGGTTCAGCTCGGGATCGAACCACCAGATGTGCCACTATAGCACTTAGTATGATTGGTTCTCTGTTCTGCAACAACTCTGCAAACCATCCCCTCTGACACACCTGGATATATATAATTTGAAGACTGCACACACCTGTATGACTTAAATGTTAGTAGCCTTTCATTTTATAATAGTACACAGAAAATAGTCCACAAGCAACTTGATGGTAGTTAAAGTAAATGTATTATGGCAAAGCAAGATAAATACAATGCACAAATCAATATTCAGGTCAAAGAATACATTAGAATACGTTAGACTAAATAACATGAGCCTTACATACAGCAATTACCTTATATCACAATAAAGCTAAACCATATTAACTGCTATACACAGTGCTAAAAAACCAGCCTTACCACAAAGAAAAGTCCCAATGTAACTCTCGGCAAGTACCAATCCATTAAAAAGGTTTCCAAAGTGCACTCTGAAATTGCACCCCTACGAGTGGGTGTACACACTTCTGAAAGGGGGTAACCTTTGGGATGGTGGTAAAGTACCTGGAGCCTTTTTAGCAAATTTAAGAGAAGGATGTCATACACTTCTTGTTCTAGGGAGGCAAAGCTCTGTCTTTGTCTTCCAATTGTGCTCCTGTGTTGTCACCTTGAAGACTACAAATGGCCGTTTTCAATGCACATCAGGCAGGCCTGGTCAACTGTTATCACCATTGGGAAACCCATCCAGAGACATGCCATTGCTGGAGTGCATGTGTGTAGGCAGGATGTGGCTTCATAATGGGTGCAGGAGATCAGAAACACTGAGATGCAACAAATGGTGGAAAAATAACCGAAAACCAGCGTAAAAAAACATTTATACAATGGCATTCAAGAATTGATTGTGATGCGCAGTTCTTTAGGAAACTAAATGCCATCCAGTTGGGCATTACATCTTTATGTGTTCTTATTCCAGAGATTGACTACTGTGCACGGGGCAACCACGGTTGTGAACACGAATGTGTGACTACAGACAGCTCCTTTATATGTAAATGTCGGAAAGGCTACGCTCTGAACCGCAATGGAAAAACATGCAAAAGTAAGTTACCAGAAGAAAGTCATATCACTTGACTGGTGAGGATCAGGGCCAAGAAAAGTGATTATTGCAGTTCTGCAAGGCAGGAGAACACAAGTGAAGTCACGACAGTTGAGCTCCAATGTATACAGTCTATAAACATTCAGATGCTGACATGTTGCAGCTGCCTTTCTGTAGTACATTAGATGATGGGTGAGGCGCATACAATGGAGTACTCTGAGCTGTCCATACTCCCAGATGTACAGCACTTTTTTCTCCAATGTTGGAAGATTTTAACCTTGTTCTTTATCAATGTCATTAGAATCCATTTATCATTGTGTATGGGAATAAGTATGACATGTTACAGCAAAAAAAAGAATCCCAAGCTGATGTTAGCAAAATAAAATAATTTGGCTGTGGTGTCCATGGTCACATGACCACTTACATCAGCAGCTTAGGCTTGATCTTTTCAGCCAATTTAAGTCTTTGTTGCCTAGTTGTAATGCTGTGGCAGCATATATGGAAAGCGTTTGCGGAACGCTCCGCAAACGCCGGACCAATGCTTGCCAAATGCTATAGGGGTGTTTGGCAAGAGTTGGTAAAACAGTCAAGTGCGAACGAGCCCTAAAGGTGATGTCTTAGCAGACTGCTATATACACAGTTGAAATCAGGGGCAGACTGACCATTTGGAAACTCGGGCACTACCCGAGGGCCCGGGGTCAGTAAGGGGCCCCATGAGATGCCCCTGGTATCTTTTTCATAGGCTTTTGTGAGTTTGGCCAAGGACACAGGGGCCCCATGATCCCCTATTGCACAGGGGCCCCATGAGTTGTCAGTCCGCCCCTGGTTGAAATACATATATAAGAATTATTTTACCTACCAAACGATTCTGCCAGACAGTACCTCCACTGCTGCAGCAGCACACCTAGGTCAAGGGTAAACCATCCAGCCTGCTGATAGCACAATGAAGGAGCAGCAGTGAAATGAGCAGTCACCCCTCTGCTTACTCTCCTCCTGTCAGCATGTTTCCTGTGAGCATCAAATGTGTATTGCAGCAGAGCCTCGTTGGCTTCTAGTGCTGGCCCTCTTTGCTCTGGAGGAGATTAAACGATACTGATATCAGATACTTAGGCTGGTCAAACACACATACATTTTTTTTGTGCAGGGCGGTTGCGGCAAGGCTCTCTCGAATGGGTCTCATTCAGTGGTGGTATCACCAGGCAAAAGCATGTGTGCAACCTTGAGCAACTGCATGTCCTTGTTTTGGGGGGGAAGAAGGAGGAGGTTGGGGGAGTTGGTAAAGATACAGTTAAACTGTCTTAGGTCTCATGTACACGGGGCGTTTGAAAAACACTTCTGAACGATGGAAACTGACTGCTGGAAAACATAGGTTAAAACACGTCAGTTTAGCCGCGTTTGCATATCGCTTTTATGCGTGTTTATGTGCTTTTATGTTTAGAAGTGTTTTTAAAAGATAACCTCAGGAGACCCTCCCAAATGCCCAGAATGCACTGAAAAATTGTACACAATTAACTATTTCAGACATTTTGGGAGAAATAGAGAGAGCAGAAGCAGAGAGAGCAGTATGTGTTAAGATGACCTGTCTTTTTTTTTCTGGTTGTATTCACTATGGATCCCATGGAGCATAATGCGGCACGTTCTACCATTTGTTCCTTCACGCAAAACCTGGAACTGACTGCACTGGTGTACCGGGTCCATTTGAATACATGGAAAAACGTTTTGCATTTATTTCTGATGATGAAAAAAGGCTCTGGACAGCATCTGGACATGGAACAGTTAAAAAAAGCTTCTAAACGCAAACGCTTATAAACGCGGTTAACCACGTTTACATGCGTTTAGCATTTGAAACGCTGGTAAAATCGACTCCTGAACGCAAGTTTGGTGCTTTAAAAAAAAGGACTGTAAACTCAACTGCTGCCAATGTGTACATGGACACATAGGAAAACATTAGGGAGAGTTCAGGGGCTGCTGAAAAAAATGCTGAACAGCTCCTGAACGTCAGTTTAGGAGCTGCAGTGTACATGAGCCCTTATATTACCACCCCCTGACTGCTCGTTTGAACAAGCCCTAAGGGCTCATGT